TGGCTGCTAGCAGCCGTGTGTGTGTGTGTGTGTGTGTGTGTGTGTGTGTGTGTGAGAGAGAGAGAGAGTAAAATTGGGCGGTCGATAAGCCTTTTGACGGAAGTGTTGCCACAGTGAACGTTTGATTTTGAAGCATTCTGTGCCAGATAGTGTCAAAGCTGTTAGGACACCCACCGCTGCACTAGGCCATTGTCTAGTAGGGCTGACTGACACGTTGGGTACACATCTTGGGACCTCCTGGTGGTGGGTGGATCCGCCTTTGTGTAGAGAACGTGTGTTACTCCTCCGCTCGTCCAACTGTTTGCTGTAAGCAGTTCAGCTATTGTTCCCCGGAGAGGCTGACCATATTGGCTGGGATGGGGTCGTGAAGTCTCCGTGATGTGTCGTTCCTTCTGGGCCTGGCTTGTTGGCCACTTAGTATAACAACCCCTTCCCCCTTAATCCCCTTCCCCCTTAATCCCCTTCCCCCTTAATCCCCTTCCCCCTTAATCCCCTTCCCCCTTAATCCCCTTCCCCCTTAATCCCCTTCCCCTTTAATCCCCTTCCCCTTAACCCCCTTCCCCCTTAAACCCTCCCCCCCCTCACCAAATAAACACTCAAAACCTAGAAATATTCGAAATTGGTCAGAGGTTAAGTATGAGGTATCAGTCCAGTATGAAAATAAAGGTCCATTAGGTTTACAACTCATAAGTCAAATTCGGATTTGTACTATTTTTTTTTTAACAAGAGTTCGCTTGATTTATCTCGCTTACTGACCCGTGTTCTCGAGCTGTGACTCGAGACTGGCCTCGTTCACATTAGACTTGGTGTAAACACGCCCTAAATTACCGTAATCAAGACACCTTACCCTATCTAGACCCAACTGTGCATGAACCTCACAATATATGATTATATTATAAACGTTTTAGGAAAAGCGTTTATTTGTTACACCGCATGAAACATTGACCCAGTCGTTTGGTTCGTTTGCTGTATAAATCAAATACTGACATTAAAGCTTGGGTAAGTTAGTATTTGACTTAAAGCTTGGACTTGGAGACAAATCCCAAGTCCACGATTAGGTTAAATTTACAACTGTTAGACTTTCTGGGAATAAGTGCTAATTGGAAACAGTTTTTCAGCTGCATTTGCCAGTGATAGTCTATTTTTATAGCTGCTGGGACTAATTGGAATAGAGCAAGTAGCAGTAGGGTTACCGAGGCGGTGTCCAGTTGGTCCTCCACTATGTGTACGCTTTTGATCCTTCTTGTCTTGATGCCACTCTTCCCAAGCATAGGGGGTTGTCTAGTGGCTGTCTGTCCGGTCTTCAGCCCTCGTGTGGGCTGTACCCGGTAGTCTGTGTACC